ATGTGTGTAATGATAACAATGACATCTTGGTAATTTGAAAACTATAATTTATCATGATTTCAAATACCATTTTTTGACCCTATTTTTAGAGAACATCCGGCCAACAAAATGACAGGTAATAAAGCTAAAGAAAGATTACTCAGGAAAGAAACCATTATAGCCAAAATATTATAGTCGATTAGATTTATAAATTATACCATCATCCATAAGTTTCAAAGCTCTTTTTTTTGTGGTAATTTAATCAGTGTCACTGGCTAAGGCTTAAACTGGATGCCAGTCCAAAACTTTAAAACATACAGTAAGTCAATTTTGGCACCAATGGCATTCCATATTTCTTATTTGCATGACGTTACATACTACTATTTTTCTGGGCTTATTCCCATTTAAAAAAAACAAAACGAAAGGGTAAAGTAAAAGAAAGAAAATGAAAAAGTTAAGAAAGGAAAAAGAAAAAGAAAACGAAAGGGAAAGAAAAAGAAAGAAACCGAAATGGTTAAGAAAGGAAAAGGAAAAGAAAGAAAATGAATAGGTAATGAAATGAGAAGAAAAGGAAAGGGTAAAGAAAGGAAAAGAAAGAAAATGAAAAGGTAAAGAAAGGAAAAGAAAGGAAACGAAAGGGAAAGAAAGAAAAGAAAAAGAAAGAAAATGAGGAGGTTAAGAAAGGAAAGGAAAAAGAAATAAAACAAAACGATAAAGAAAGAAAAAGAAAGGAAATGGTAAAGAAAGAGAAAGGAAAGAATAAGAAATGTGGAAAGGAAAGAAAAGGAAAATATAAGGTAAGAAAAGGAAAGGGTAAACATGAAAAGAGGTAGAAAAATGAAAGGAAGAAAAAGAGGGTAGGAGAAGAAAAGGTAAAGAAATAAATTACAGGGATGTAAAGGAAAAGAGAGACAGGTCATAAGTGTGAAAGGAAAGAAAATAAAGATAAAGGGAAAAAAGACATGGAAACAAAAAAAAGAGTAAAAGGGAAGTAAGGTAATAATACTAAGAAAATAAATATTTAACAATTAAATAGATTTTTAAAAAAAGTAAATAAAATTCTGTATTTTCAAATTATTATTTATTAACATTGTAATCGTGTATTTATATTTATTGTTGTAATTCATTATTGTTATTCATTTTTTTTTAGGTGAAACTTTTAATAATTTATCCCACTCCATGCTATAGAGCGCAATAGAGGTATTTTACATTATGCGCAATTATTATTATTCAAATTCAACAATATAACAAGTTTCTCAACATAAACTTCTAGGCGGATGCAGGATTTGGCAGTAGGGGGTGCATGACAGTCCAGACCACCCATGCTCCACCATGGTTGGGGCTGAGTCGAGATCATTTTAAGAATATGGAACTCTATGTGCCCAGAAATTGCACTCTTAATTTCTCATACCTTAAAATCTTACCGGTACTATGTTCCTAGCAACAATACAATAGAACACTTATTTTGTTAATACAATTTAGGGAGGTGTGATCGCACCGTCTCCACCCCTCCTGCATCCACCCCAGTAACCAGACGCTGGTGGCGCTCTCTGAAATTATCTAATACTAGGAAAAATCAATAAATTAGAGACTTGTGGCAAGTCTTGCTAAGGCTCATTTGGGTCCTACTACTTTGGAGGTTTTGGTATCCATGTGGGTCCCAGTTGGGTGGGATGAAGCCCCCCTCAATCTCTGTATTTTGGACATTTTGTATTTTGATATATTCTTTACACATGAAGGACCCTCACTTGGCCGGTTTGGGGCCCCATGGTTCTGACAAAAAGAAAATGCCAAATAATATCAAGGACCCCTAAAGCAGGCCTCCGGGACATTCATGTTGCCTATTTTTAACAATGCCTGTGGTATTGATGACATATATTATTTAGTTGTAAAGCAGTCCAGTGGTTTCATTCTCTGTCCACATTACACAGTACATCTAAATTTCCTAACTTCCACTAGTATTTTTCTGAACAGCATCAAAATTGTAAAGGTTGCTGTTAAGGGTGAAAAATCTGACTTAACATTGCCTATTTCCATTCATATGGTCACTGTACCTTATGATTTTATGAATGAACATGATATTCTGTTTACCAAGCAACAGGGCTTTGAGAAAATATTATTTCACTTTATTAACCTTTAACAAAATTATACGATTCAGAAAAAAATTTTTGCATTTGGACTATTTGACCTTTCAAATGCTTCAATGCAATAGATTATATATTAATTTTAAAACTTTTTAATTATGGAATTTGATGTGTTTCTCTTGACCTTTTCATAAACTAACTTTCAAATAGACTTCAGTGCACAATAATTATAAAATAATTTCTGAATTCAAACCTATTATTTGTGGTTTGCCTCAAGGAATTTCTTCATGGTTTTTTATTTGTTTATTTTTTGCCTTTTATTAACGATTAAAGCCGAATGCATTCAATGTACTTTCTATGCTAATGATACTTTTTTTTTAGGTTTAGTGTTCAATCTATTTTCCGACAACTGTTAATCAGAAAATATAAATGGTTGCTTAATTGTATAAATTTTCAATTACATCAATAAATATAATTTTCATGTTGTTTGGATTTCATCATCAAAAGAGTCTAATGAAATCGGTTTTGGTTTGTAATCAAATGGTAGTCTTATCAAGTTCCTTGAGGGTGAAATTGACGAGAAGTATTAAACTAAAAAAAATCATAAGGAGAATTTTATCTGCCTCATTTTCTTTGCATAAATGCCCATTAGTCACCATGCTGGGATATTTTTTTGTGGTTGCTATATGGTCATGCACAATGCCACTACTTATGCTCCCAGCAAGTATTCCTATTCCTATATATTGAAGACAGGGGCCGATTCAAGGTGGGAGGGGGAGGGCGAAGCCGGCCTGGGGGACCCCTAAGTATTTCAAAACTATAAGTGAAATTGAAATACTTGAAAAATTTTAATCAAATTTAGGTTTGAGAGTGCGATTTCCGGCCATCTACTGTAGAGGTGCCTTGATCAAAGATTTTCTTACCTTGGTTCAAGCCATGGTGGGCCTAAGGTAGTGTCATCTGCGAAAGTTCTCCCTGGGCCCCCTCTATTTCGAATTTGTGGGTATGCCACTGGCAGACGTGCCTTTTTATGGTCTTAATCCATTGACCAATTTCATTCTAAGCTATGCGAACAGACACCTATACTGTACTACTAGGTAAAAAAGAGCTATTTATAGATAATTTGCTTGCTAAAAACACTAGAGATTTCACTAGCCTGGTATTACTTTAAAATTGTGAAACCAAATGCCTTTCCCTATGCCACATGTCTGTCAACACTCATTCGAGTTTGACGACAGAAAGTGTTACAAATGGCTGAAGATAAAAGACTGATAAAACGTATGGATAGAAACGAACTACAAATATATTGCATCAAACATAAACATCAAAATATTAAAGAAAAGACCATACAAAGTCGCACACTTGCTTCTGTGATTTCTCGGAAGTAAGTCGTCTGTGATGACTTTAAAGTAACTTAATACAAAGAGTCTTTTCATGGACACTACTGATTGCTTATGACAGGTAAACTACTTCAAAGCTTACTTCTAAGGGGTCGTTGAACATTATTAACATTTTCACAAGTGTACAAACAGTATTCTAGGGGGAGGGGGTAGCCAAATTTTTACTCTCTTACATATGCATAAAAAATTTGATTCAAAATAACATGCAGTATGTAAAATAATGGTAAAATTATAATGTAACTATGGATATAATATTCATTTTTAAGCAACCAAGTACAGTTTTAGATGGCTTCACAAAAAAATGGAGAATTGTTTTGCAAAATCAAATTTTTTTTTGTACATTTTCAGAGAGGAGGGAGGGGTAGACTTGTGAAAATATCTAACTCATCTAAACGTACCTACTGTTATAAAACAGTACTATGCCGAAATAATTGACAGTAATTATATAGCAAGAAAAAAAAAAGCACCTGAATAACATTGAACAGGAAACAAATAAGAAGCAGAGCATGGTGGTATTAAAAAAGTAACAAAGTAGTATACTCGAATGATGAAGAAAAATAGGAAATTGCTAGATGTTTTTAGGCAATGTCTTGAAAGGTTTGCCACACGTTTAGCTCAGGAGAGCAGTAATGAAACATTTCTGTGTCTGCAAGTATTGGAGTTGAATAACAGATGTCCCAAGTCTCCCGTAAATTGCAGATTTTTTTAACAGGCGTCTCCGCACATCACATCGTCAAATGTAAATTTTTCTCCAAAAATAGAATATTGCTCAAGAATTTAAAAAGATTACTTCTGACTTTTTTTTCTTTTTTTTTTATATTCAAGGCATTCTGCCTGATTGTTTGATTTTTTCTTAATAAATGTGAGCAGGTTGATATTTACAATTAAACAACTCTCAAGGGTNATTGGGTTTTTGTTTTTTTTGCTTTGCTGTTCATGTAAAGCACATAGTTGTACCATGGTGCTCTGTATGCTAAAAAAAACATTTGTAAAATCTGTATCCACATCTTACAATGACTTGTTTTTTTAAATTGCTTTTGTGGAATAAAAAAAAATTACTGTGGATAATGGCATGGCATATGTTCTACAGTAGTGACTTTTTTAAATTCATGACAAAATCTCAAGAAATTATACTTCTCAAACTTTATTCTTGAAGTAATGTCACATCAACTAAAAATCTTGATTTTATTTGACATTAAGGTGTCCACAATAATAAACAAACTGAGACTGAAGATAACTTGAATAGTTGAAATGTTTCATAACATGATAAAAAATGAAATAGTACAGTACACCAGTTTTCATGTTCTGTAGAAAATCTTTTATGGATATTTGCAAAGTGCCTGTGTAATTATGCAATATATTTCCTTTTTCTTTCTCATTTGGCTGTCAAACTGTAAGTAATAGAAAGGAATTTCTTACTAGTTCTATTTGCACTATAATAAATGTGATTGATGCTTATTGGGAAGATATCTACTTTTATTATTGATTAACGTGAGATCCAAATTGTTGAATTATTTGAATGTATTATATTTTACAGCCTAAGAATTGTGTCTTATAATATATTAGCTGAAATGTATGCAGATTCGGATTTTTCGAGAGATGTTCTTTATCCATATTGCCCACCTGAACTGCTTGACATTGACTACCGCGAACAGGTCATCTTGAAAGAGCTCACAGGTAATTGTCAATCTTTGTAATATCTTGTATGTTATTTCTTGAGGGTTTTCAATAAATAATGGAATTTTTTGTGAATTAAAGTTTTATTATAAAGGAATTGATGATTCTTCCTGAAGGATACTTATAATTCCTTTATTTTTATTCTGCTATAAAAGTGACTACAAATTTTACCAAACATCACAATATAAAAGTTTGATTGTAATAAAATTTTTATTAAAAAGTTCCTCAAAGGTTTATAGTTTGCATGCAGGATACACACACATATTTTTTTTATTTATGTATTTATTTATTCAGGTATAGTACAGAAAATATACAAATGGCAGCCAAAAGCAAAGATAAATGTATTTGCAAGAATATGAAAATATTGCAATATTATACTGTATACAAAATTACAACAAGAAAGGCCGAAAATTAAAAATTCATAAAAAGAAATATCACATTAAAAAGTACTAAACTTAATTAAACCACCTAAATATTTTATTGGAAACCTAAAAATACAATAAATATAAAAATATAAATATACAAAATTTGAATTATTTCTAATTTTGAATTATTTTAACATTACAAAAAAAAAAAAAAAAAATTAATAAAAATATTATTAAACTGAGGAACACAACAAATATTATAACAATCCAAAGAAAAACTGCATTCAAGCTGTTCAATATTTCAAAATTCCTTCATTCACAAATCAGTCCATTGCTATAGGTTCTACTTACATAATTAATTTATATACTATTTTAACTATAGATATATTTTACTAAACCTGTAACTGTTTTATTATTAAGTCTAACATTAATTTATTACTTTAACCTACTAAAGGTGAAGAAACATTGTACATATTAGAGTGACAAATCTTTTTTTTAACCAATTAATTATGTTTGGAGAGGCTATGCAAAGAATAAATGGGAAAGCATACGCCAATTTACTGAGCAGGTGCATTTTAAATAGAGGAAACTCTGAAAATAATGTACTATAAATAGGTACTGGATTTTGCCCCAGAAACAGGAAGGTCTATACTATACTTTTATCCAGAGTTTGATTTTCTCATTCTTATATAATAATAGGCCTGATAAAAAAACTATCCATGTCACTGTTGTTCTTAGAGTAAGGCACTTTTTTTTGTCATTAAACCAGAATAATAAATCGGTGTTTGATGGGAGGTACAGTAAGTGTTCTTGAATCAATGGATTTGGTTTATATGCTCTTATTCCTTCGATAGTTCATTCTAAAAATAGATGGGTTTATTAAATGAAAATTCCTTCATGCTGTATTATGTACAGGTTATCCAATTGGCAATTAATTGAGCAGAGGAAGTTGTACATTATCACTGTGCATGTCAGTGATTGGGGTTATGGTAGAAGCTTCCTTGTCACAGCCCTCGATAACGCTAATTCTATGACTACCACACATAAAATCAGGTCAACATCTACTTGTATCACCATTTAATCATGCCATCTGATGGGCCTGGCAGAGTACAATAATTGTGTTAGACACTGCGTCCAGCTCTGACTGAAATAAAGCATCTAGCAAGTGTGTGGACATGAATGAACAGCAGATAAGACTGTTGAACATTGTGTATGACAGTGTACAGTATTCAATGTCAGGTAGTGAAGCAGAAGAGTTTGCAAATTGAGTACTGTATGTGTATCCAGCTAAGGAATGGAACTGATGCGGTTGTACCCTTTCACCATGTCAGTGTTTCCAGCTTGCATGTACAGTATATGTGTCCTGTCACAGGGAAATGAACAGAGGAGGTTTCATATGTACTATATACAGTAAAGTGTTTTCAGTCACAGAGAATTGAGTGGAGAAGGTTGTATGTTGCAACTGTGCATGCCAGTGTTTCCAAGGACAAGAAATGGAGTGGAGGAGGTTTCATAGTAAAGTACTGTATACAGTTGAAGTGTTTCCGGTCACAGGGAATTGAGTGGAGGAAGTTTCTTAAGTATACAGTATTAACAATGTTTCCAGAAAGAAGAATTGACTAGAGAAAGTTGTATGACACTTTGTATGTCAGTATTTCCAAACGGCTATCATATAATGGAGCGGGAGATGTTGCATGTTATATACAGTACAGTGTGTTTCCAGTCACAGGGAATTAAAGCCCCATTCCCGGCAAAATTTCACTAAAAACAGACTTTTTTTAGAAAATATGCATTTGCATTACTCCAATTTTTATAAATCATGGAAAAATATTGGCATGAATTTTAGTTTTACGCAAAAGAATAAAAAAAATGAGAAATACAGACTATTTCTCATAAAATATTACCATTTTCTCAACGAATTCATCGTTACTAGGCAAATTCAGAGGTTGTAGATCACATCCACTGGAATACTCTCTCTTTTATGTATACTTTTATACAGTCAATAAAGTACGCCCTCTCTAATGAGATTAGTTTTTGTACTTCGCATCTCGCACAATGTGGTCGTTCGGTTAGGCTGAGATATGTTTGTTTAAGTGTCAAAATCTCAGTCAGAATCAGTTTTTTAACAAATTTGAAATAATTCCTATGAAATATTATATTTCACAAGTGTCAATACTAGCAACGGAAAATATCATGTCGGCCG